TAAAAGGTTCTGGAACTGGTTGTAATTGATAAAAATTTCAGAAAATTAAATAAAATATGCCAAAGCATTCAGAAATATCCAGGCTACAAGGACATGCAAAATTTTGAATTTATCTGCACTATAGAAAGAACTTTTCTTGCATTCCAAAAATCATGTTTTAACTTTCCAACGGAATTTGAAAGTTGACTTCAGAAAAAATATTTCTGTAAATTTAAAAATGAACAAAAAGAGGCAAATGAGGTCTTGAATTTTAGATAACTTCACTGCGGGGTTTTGCTCATTTGTATAAAATTTAGCTTGAATAGTATTTTTTTGGGGAGCTAGACCAAATACTAGCTGGTAATGGGACACTCTGAAACGTACCGCATCCCAAGTGGTAATGGGACGCTCTGAAATGTACAGCATCCCATGTGGAAATGGGATGCTATGAAACGTACTGCATCCCATGTGGTGTTGGGACCTTGTAAGAAGGATGCTTAATGTTAACCCATTACCTGCCGTGAGGCCCATTTGGGACTCAAGAGGTTTTTGGCTCCCCAAAAAAATACCATTCAAGCTAAAATTATATAAAAATAAGCAAAACCTCTGCAGTGAAGTTATCTACAATTCAAGACCTCATTTGCCTTTTTTTCTTGATTTTTAAATTTACAGCAATATTTTTTCTGAAGCCAACTTTCAAAAAAATTGTTTGGGGAGCTAGACCAAATACTAGCTGGTATAATGGGATGCTCTGAAACGTACTGCATCCCAAGTGGTAATGGGACGCTCTGAAACGTACCACATCCCATGTGGTAATGGGACCTTGTAAGAAGGATGCTCAACGTTAACCCATTACCTGCCTTGAGCCCCATTTGGGACTCAGGAGGTATTTGGCTCCCCAAAAAATACCATCCAAGCTAAAATTATATAAAAATAAGCAAAACCTCTGCAGTGAAGTTATCTACAATTCAAGACCTCATTTGCTTTTTTTTCTTGATTTTTAAATTTACAGCAATATTTTTTCTGAAGCCAACTTTCAAAAAAAATTTTTGGGGAGCTAGACCAAATACTAGCTGGTAATGGGACGCTCTGAAATGTACTGCATCCCAAGTGGTAATGGGACGCTCTGAAAGGTACCGCATCCCATGTGGTAATGGGACCTTGTAAGAAGGATGCTTAACGTTAACCCATTACCTGCCTTGAGCCCCATTTGGGACTCAGGAGGTATTTGGCTCCCCAAAAAAAATACCGCCCAAGCTAAAATTACATAAAAATAAGCAAAGCCTCCGCAGTGGAGTTATCTACAATTCAAGAACTCATTTGCCTTTTTTTCTTGATTTTTAAATTTACAGCAATATTTTTTCTGAAGCCAACTTTCAAAAATAATTTTTGGGGAGCTAGACCAAATACTAGCTGGTAATGGGACGCTCTGAAACGTACCCCATCCCAAGTGGTAATGGGACGCTCTGAAACCTACTGCATCCTATGTGGTAATGGGACCTTGTAAGAAGGATGCTTAACGTTAACCCATTACCTGCCTTGAGCCCCATTTGGGACTCAGGAGGTATTTGGCTCCCCAAAAAAAATACCGTCCAAGCTAAAATTATATAAAAATGAGCAAAACCTCCGCAGTGGAGTTATCTACAATTCAAGATCTCATTTGCCTCTTTTTCTTGATTTTTAAATTTACAGCAATATTTTTTCTGAAGCCAACTTTCAAAACAATTTTTTTGGGGAGCTAGACCAAATACTATCTGGTAATGGGACGCTCTGAAATGTACCGCATCCCAAGTGATAATGGGATGCTCTGAAATGTACCGCATCCCATGTGGTAATGGGACCTTGTAAGAAGGATGCTTAACATTAACCCATTACCTGCCGTGAGCCCCATTTGGGACTCAGGAGGTTTTTGGCTCCCCAAAAAAATACCCAAAAAAAAAAGTTTTTCGAAAAATGGGTGATTCACCCGTATATGATGGCTGAATCTCCTTTCGCGGTAACTAAGCAGGCGTTTGGAGAAAACGGGTGCTCAGCAGAACCACCCGTATGCCAAAACGGGTGGTTCAGCAGGTGATCCCCCTTTTTTTTCAACCCAGTACCCATTTCCCAGAACGGGTGGCTGCTACCCGCGTATGACGGGTCTTTGACGGGTGGAAATACGGGTAAATTATTTGCTGGGACTGCCTTTAAAAATGCAGCCATAAATTTAAAGAATTTCTTGTCACCATTGTGCAAAAAAAAATGGATAGGTACATGCACCAATTGTGTCAGATATGAAATCAAATGCCATTCATGGTTTTATATAGCAGGGATAATATTATAACAGCCTTGCAGCAGTCGACTCTTATAAAATTAATGCACCAATGTCTCAGAAAACTACAGAATGAGGCATGGAAATATTCCACTGAGGAGAGCTTTTTATTGCTGTCCTTTCAAATAAACTCGTATAATGTGCTGAAAGGTGCTGAAAGGTTTGCAAAGCAGCTACCCAAAAATGAAAATTGTCAGTAGTTTTACTGCTTGTTCTACATGAGTCTCAAACTGTTTTTGTCATTTTGACCATTTTGTAATCCTGAAGAGACAGCAACATTTTCACTTCTTAAATTTTTCTTCACGGAACCATTAGAAAGTCAAAGCTGGATTTTTTGTCTTGAAGGGGTTTTAATTTTATAAAAGGTAATGCAGATTATAGGTTTATTGTACTCTTTTTAATCCAGAGTAAGCCAACTACATCTCATTCCAGAAGGTCATGAGGTTAACCAGAATAATTGACCTTCACTGGTCTTTGAGGGAACCTTTAAGAGGTTCCCCTACACTACAAAAGCTTCAAATTTTGTATTTTAAAAATAGAGCCAAAAATGCGAAGTAAGGTAAATTGCGGATGTACTGTAACTGTATATAGTCAGCAATCGCTTTAGATCTCATGTCCCCAGTTGACCAATTGATTTAGTCTTTGGGTCATATTGTTGCAAGTCTTGAGCTGACCTAGGAAAATAAGTTATGTTGCTCTATATTTTAAAAGCAGATAGATTTTTTCTATAACAATTTTGTCTAAAACGCTTTTCTCTGCATAAGGATTTTTTTTTTTGTCTCAGAGCATTCTCTCCCCATGTTAAATACATATAGAGGTTCTCTGCAACAAAATTATCTCTACAACGATTTTTTTCTGGGCCTTTGCATTTTTTTGTAGATGAGGGTCCACCAAGAAGTAACATTTCAATGATTCTATCCTGATTTTTTAGAGATTATTGCCCACGATTTAAACTTACTTTAAAATTGTAAAATTCTTAACCAGCAGTGTGCCAACAAAAAAAAATAGTTGTAAAATGCGGGTTCCCAGCATTTTCGCAAGAAAATACTAGATTATTGCACAAACAGAAAATAACTGAGAAATCCAGAGGGAGTTGAAACGTGATCTTTGATAAAATTCCTTGGGAGAGAGGATGATACAGAGACCATAGTCAATTAAAAGATAATTAAAGCCCATTCAGGTTTTGTTGATCAAATTTTTGAATATTTAATATCGCGAATATCTGCGCCTTTTTCGTCCAAGAAACATTTTACGGAAAGAATTTAAAATCGCTATTTGTTTAAAATTCGTTAAAATCGTTCGAAATAAGGCATGCAGGAAATCATTCTCAATTATAAAATATCCTCAACCCCTTCCGCCGTGTAAAAATGTAATTTTTATGCAGGACTCACGGAATCCTGGAAGGCATTCGTCCCGGATTTCAAGAAAGCCAAGCTTTCACGCAGCTTCGGGATCGACGAAAAGATCCTCAAACTGGACCACAAATTCCTGCTGATCAAAGTGGAGTTGCAAAGATACTCGGGTGTTTTGGATGGTGAGCTGCAAGTTTCCGAAGCCTTGCTCGAGAAGGTCCAACGCTGGCGTCCCGAATCCCAATACGACTGTCTCAACGGCGTCGGGAAAGTCGGCAGCCACGTCATCCAGAACATTATCGTCGGCGACGTTATATTTCAAGTTAGTATATACTCAGTAAATAGCTAAGAACATCTTGAAATTTCAAAATCAATTTCTTCGTCTGTCGAATCTAATTCGGCATTTTTTTTCATCCAAAAAATCCGTCAATCAAAATTATATAAAAGTCCCTCAATGAACAGCCATCAACTACATAGAATTTGAAAAGCGATCTATACTCATCATTCAAACCGAATTTTGAATTTTTTAAATCCAAAAAATCTGTTTATCAAAACTTGGGACCTCAATGAAAAATAGAGATTTTGCTGGATCAATAACTGTTGCAGACATAAATTCATTCATCTGCATTCAGAAACAAGGCTTTTGAAGTCACTGTTTGCACCAAAAGCTCATGCATCAGTAAGATAAGAATCTGGCATGAAGGTTTTCCAGATTCTTATCACCGAAGAAAAGTTAAGTTTAGAAAAGGAAGAATATCTCAAGATCTGTTAATCGGGTCAATTTTTATAGGATATAAGAAAAGTTGAAGAACATCCTAAGCTTCAATTTAAGATATTGTGGAATTTTGTAACTGTTAAATTCGCGGAGTTATTTGCTTCGGAAGTTCGCGCGTCGGGAATTGCGCCATAGGCGAAGCATCTTTTCTTTGCCAATTTTATTTCTCTTTGAAAGCAAGTTTTCATTGCACAAAACAGGATTGTATTCGCTGATTGTGTGTGTGATTGTTGTCTTCATGAAACCTGTGATCAGAGACAATAATAGAGTCCTCTTTTGACATCCAAAGAGTGAGGATGCTCCAGCTTCTCTTATTTTCTGCAGCCATAATATAGTTTTGTCCTTCTAAAATTAAATTCCCTTGGAGGCTGGTTAACTGCCTCAGCACTCAGATGTCTCTTGCATTTGGAATGATTTTAATGCAGCTTAAAATCTGCAACAAATAACATTCCCAACAACTTCTATTGAACAATTTTTTTTTTATGCCACACCGTAAAAATCCTCCTGTATACTGTATAATAATCAAGACTTCAGGAGTACGTGTACCATGCATAATTCCATCCGTATACATTTAACATATTTCCAGGTGATTGCCTACGACGACTCCAACTTCGCCTACGTGCAAGAAGCCCTTGGCAGAGGGAACCGAACCCTGGTTCTCCCATCTCTGGACCCACTCAAGCACCTGTTGACACCCAACTACGCCGCGGATTTCGGTCGCGTGATGCTCGTCAGCGGGGACCGAGCAACGCTCAGTCTCGTCCGGGATCAACTGCGGGAATACAACATTCAAACCGGAGAGGCGCCTTCTTTGGCGAAACTGGCCACGAATCCGAAGGCGGTCGCCGCCATCAGTCGCAGCGTGGGACACGTCATCATCGGGGCCCAGTTCTCGGCGCTCATCAAGTACGTGCCCAAGTCCCTGGGCACGGAATTCTGCAAGCGGATCCTCTTCAACGCGCTGCAACTGTACGAGGCCAATATCATGTAAAATAATAAAAATTCGAATGGATTTTTTACACCGGAGAATCATCAGTCATTCGAATATGATAAATCGAAGCTCGATCTTCTTTTTTTCCCTCGGAAATCAAAAATTAAAACAAATTTTCATACGAGACGCATTTTCATCACGTTCAGTTTCTTCAAAATCAGACAATCGATGTGAAATCTGGTGATTTTTCTGCTCATCAGTTTCATATCTTTTTTGTTACATCTACAGAAATTCAGGATTCTCTCGATGCCTTCTTCGAACTGAAAATGGCCTTATACCCCGAAGCATCAGTCACTCGAATATCATGTCATGAAGGGTTATCTTTTTTTCCTTCTCGGGAATTGAAAAAAAAAAGTCATACGAGACGCGTTTCCATCACGTTTCAATTCTCCGGAAACAGACGATCGATGAGAAAGTCTGTAGATCGTTCTGCTCATCAGCTTAATCTTCTTTGAAACCTTCACAGAAATTCAGCCTTTCTTGAACTGGAAATAGACCTGCGGAAAAATGTTGTTAGGTTGAACTTGAAACCTGCTGATCATTTTAGATGCCATGATATAGAGAAAGGCGTAACCCGATTTTGTTTACCCAATAGCTCTTTCCAGCAAAAGCGCAACCCGATTTTGTTCACCCTATACTGTATTGTAGTTTATCCGAGAAAAAAACTACATACTGTTCTCTAGTACTGTACAGTATGAATACGGTATTCGATACTTTTCGGAATCCGCCACTTGGTGAGGCTGAGGAAGATTATGGGCATGCGTTTGATGGAGTGTATTTTGCGCGACATTCAATTTGTGATTGAATTGATTGTTACCGGTTCATCAGATTTCCTAAAGAAGAAATCTTTCAAGATACTTCACTCATTTTCTTTCAGTCATGTCATGTCCTAAAATTGAGGCTGAAAATTTCAGCAAAAATCCTCGAAGGTGATGAAGGGCTTCAACGCCTCAAAACCTTTTACAATATCATGAAACAAAATGTTTCACGGTAATTGATGTAGAGGCCTTGTTTGTTGATAAACAGAAGCTCTTAGTTTGATTGAATTACGGAAAAACGTTGACAGGACCCGTTTGTTTACGTTCCTCTACATGGCGATATCAACTTTACATGATTACAGATATTAATTGCTGAAGAATGAACAGAATAATCACATCACTTATGCGATCACTTTCATTTTCTTCTCGGTAAAATAGAAAATTGAATTCTTTACAGCTTTCTCGGGTTTTTGTGGACGCATCTTCTGTGTTCCAATTCAATAAAATCAATTGCAATACTGTAATGAAATTGTGCGTGAGACAGAACTCAAGAGTAACTTCCTCATGATTTCCATTCCATCTTCGAGCAGTTGGTACCAATCTTCATTTCCATGAACAGAATGTTTAGCGAAAACTGAAACAGAGTGCAAGTTTTGATTTTCAATACGAAGCATCAAATTCCACGGAAAGCTATAGGTTCAAGTAGATATGGAAATCAATGAATTTCATGCGGAACTACATTATCTCCAAGAATCGGAAGCGACTTCATGATTTCGGAATCAACCATTTATGAGGCTTCGACGCGAAAACATTCAATTTCAATATATTTCCATCATACCCTCCCGTACGAAGCTTCAACAACAAACTTCGTGACATTTTATTCAAAGACGAAGACTATTCTTGACTATTTCAGTGGGACAAGAATTGTTCGTCATTTAAAGCTTTTCCGTTCGCTATTCGGTAGCCGACTGGCCAAATCCATAAATCCGACATAAAATGAAACAAAATAACAACAATACATACTTTTTCCTCAGGATTATTCGCAAACTTTCCTCAAAAATTAATTTTAAAAAATTTTCAAAGGAAGACCTCAAGTGTTGCAACGTAACGCAATTTATAACACGAAGGTCGTAATTGACTGATTCTTTCGTCAGTATTTATCTTGAGTCAGGAACAAGCACAATAGAACTCAATACGAGAATACCACAGCATAATTGTTTCTCCTCTCACGAAAATCTCAACGCACGTGCGAACTTTAGTTTAAGGCATTTAGTAACACGATTCGATGTTGAATATGTTTTTAAAATTACGCCACATTTTTGTTTACACATCACGCTGCGTAGAGGATGAGAAATTTGAGAAGAGCGAGCTTCAACACCAGTGGTAAGGTGACACATTTCATGACGTGCTCCGTCATAGACCCGGCCCATAATGAAATTGTCAACCTGATATTATCTGTACTCCGAAACTGTCCTCAACCTCATTCGGAATTTTGCGATAATTTTTGATAATTAAAGTGATCATTTTTGTAAGTTAGTCTTAAACCCAAGAAGAAATCAAAATGTACACGAATTAATCTCCGCACTGTTTCATATTCCGTCTTCATCGCAGTTTGAGATCTTCGGGGTCAACCAGAAATTATTGATGTGCGCAAATCAGAAACACGTTACAGACTTACTTGCAATGATGGACTGCCATCACGGGTTGTTGGAATGGCGCACGCAAAATTATCAAAAAGGAACCCGATAAACCATCCGAAAAATCAGTTAATCAAGTTTTCACAACAACCCAAAAGCACATCTTCTTTCATCACAAAATAAAATCTGTCACACGCAACCCGAGGAAATCGACTGGATCTGACTAAATTTCCAAAACTGAAAGCCTTTTCTTTTCAACATTGCACACGTGGTATAAAAAAAATGGCAGCTGAACGTATTCGATTCACGGAGGGCGGGGAAAAGCACGTCATTTCTCATGGATTTCCGACATTTCAATGCCGATTCCGTCCACAGACACACTGGAATCATTTCCAGAAGACGCAGCAGATTGCTGTTGGTTACTGCTACTGCTGCTGCTACTCGGATTAATTTTGCCCGCAATTTTCAAAGCCTTGTTTTTCTGCGCAGCTGCTTTGGCCGCCAGAACGTCCCTGCTGTGAGCCAACAAGTTCTTCGCGGCGCCGAGCTTCGTTTCCTTATGCTCCTTGGGAGCCGCCTCTTCCTTCTCCTCGCTGATGGCGGTCAAGCTGGCTTCGCTGCAATCTTGCAAAGGAATGTCATCAGGCAGCTTCTTCGTGCGGAATGAAGCATTCGTAATCAGGTTCTTGATGCCGCCCAATTGAGTGACGCTGCCGCGGGGTCGAGCCAGGTTGGCGGTGATGTCGATAATGCCGCCGTGGCGGTCTAGAGACGCGGAGGAAGACGGCGACAGGGATTCCGCGTCGCCTGAGGCTTCGATGGCGTGTTTGACGGCCTTTGTTGCCATTAGTACGTCCGGGAGGATCTCGTACATGGCTCGTTTGTAAACGGCATCCACGGCTATCCGGGCTGAGAATGCGCAACCCTTGTAGAGTGCGTAGTATACGCATGAAATCAGGTGCAGCAGAATTTGCGGTGCAACCTGATGAAATGAGGAACACGTGATGCAGAATGATTTATAAATGATCAGACTATCCCGGCAAAAAGCAAAGCAAAGTACTTGACAACACAGTACTTCATTACTAGGCTTGGAAATTACAGCTAATCGGATGCACGTGAAGTTTTTAGAAGCAGACGCCCGAACTAAATCAGAAGATTATCAGAACCCCAGTTTTTCATTAAAAAAAACAATAATTTCACTGCTTGAGGATCCCGCTTCCTTCAAATTCTTACACTTCGGAGCAATCAGAAAGGTACAGCTCGTTTATCTCTACAACGAAATCCAAGGTACATGATTAAAATTCGTCGTAGAAAACCCAAATAACATGGGGAGAAAACTCCAAGGGACGTAAAGTAATCATTTGTCCCATGGGGCTCTTTCCTCATAGCATAGGGGCTCTATAACGAATTTTTCCTAGAAAGTTCACCTTTATACAGAGAACATTGTAGTACTGTAAACAAGATCGTTGTAGTGAGAGTCCACCGCTATTTCACTTCAGATTTTGGTCGTTTTGGCTCGTGCAATTGAATTCACAGTGGAAAAGTTTTAAAACTACGCGTTTGGGACCTCAAAAAAGCTTCGTTAAAAGCAACTTTTTTTTTTTTAAGCAGAAAAAAATATCATTGGGATTATCTTAGAGGAGCCAAAAAAGTCGTTGTGAGCAATACTTCATTTCAGCAAGATTCTACATTATTTGTGCCTCAGATTTTGGGCTGGCGACGAGCGATATCTTGCAGAAGGTGGATGATAAAGGTTCACATCTGCCACAGAAATAGCATGCTATTGAAAATGAAATAACATGGAAAAAAGCAATAACATTTAACAGTTAATAAAGTTTCATCAGGGTGAAAACTACCCAACATCTGGTGGAACTGTCAAGCATGAGAACAATCAGGACAGCATATTTTCTCAGTTTCTGCGGTGATAACGTGGAGAAATAAAACTTGGATCCATTTTGCGACGTTCCAAAAGAAAATTCCGAAGTGCAAGTCTACCAAATGTACGATTTTCGAGCGGAAAGAAAAAATAATATGTATAAGATTTTATAACTGCTATTGCGAAATACCGTTTTTAGAGAAAACCCAGACTAAAAAGTTACGTCTACTCTGACATCCACTGCACCTCATTCAAACAAAACTTGAAATGGTTCAAAGCAACAACGAATGTGTCCGACATAAGGCACATCTTTACGAAGAAAAAGATCACTAGAATAAAGTTATAAACGCGATAAAAATCTTTACGATGCCCCGCATCAAACCTTGAAAACAACGCACTGCATTCTTTAATGAGCCAAGTACACACCATTATTCTCGGCGGCCCACGTTGTAACGTACGTTCGTCATCTTCATCATCATCATCCTCTTCGTCATCGTCGTCGTCGTCATTCTCTTCCGGCTGATCAAACGGGAAACCCTGAGACGCCAGCTTCGTCACCGACACACACAATGAATCCAACGCCGCACGTCCATACGACGTCATGTGACACGAGTAACAATACAAGATGGCCGAGAGAACGGAAGTGCGATTCTCGCCATCGAGTTTAGCGACTTGCGGAAATGGTCCGAGTTGCACACAGTGCCCGGTTTCCAATCGCCTCAACGCAGCGTCAGTCAGCATATTGCTCTGCAGCAAACTCGGGTCGTGATAAATAGACCCCAGTGCCAGAGAAGGAAACCGGAATTTTAACAACGGCTTCGGAGTCCCGACCTCGCTGTACACTTCTTTGTTGTAAATCCCGAGTAGGAACACTTCTAGACTTTTGCAAGCACCGCCACGCTTCGTCGTCACTGCGTGGGCTTGTAAGGCGTCCAAGTAGGCATAAACGGCGGCGGGGATGAGTTGGAAAACGCACTCTTTGTAACCGGGTTCATCCGCGCGGTACATCTCGAATACAGTGGCGCACATGTCCGCCACCAGTTCTTCATTGGCGCCGCCACGCAGGGTGAAGAGCACAACGTTCATGGACGCGAGCAACTCGTCATTGTTCATAAGGTCAGACATTCCGGCGTTGGTCTCGACCGCCTTCAGCCATTGTCGAACGCGATCGTGCGCGGACTCGCGTCTCATCCTTCCGCGATTGGATTTCACTTCACGGATTCCTGCAGGAAAACCAAAAACAGATTTGTGAGTTATTCAGGTGAACTATTCACAGGTTGTTCCACTTGAATGTCTCAAAATCTGATTTGTGTCTGTTGTTCCACAGGCGTCGCTCAAATCAGGCATCCTTTCAGTTGGGAACCCGGGAACTTCTGCCAGCGCGCCTTGCCGGTCTTTCCTTGAATGGACATTCCCTGGAACAAAACCTTTGTAGAAAAATTACGCAGTACGTTATTTTCCTCTGTTTATTTGCTGTTAAGTAAATAGGTTAGGTTATGTTGAATTAGTTTAGGTTAGGTTAAATTAGTTTAGGTTAGTTTTAACCCTAGGTATATTTCATTTCTTTAAGAAAAATTATTAGACTTTGGGGTCAGCTAGGTCAGGTTATATTAGTTGAAAAATATTTTCAACTAACATAACCTGACCAAACCTAACTTAACCTAACCACCCCCAAAGTCTAGAATTTTTAAGAGCAATTCAATTACAGTGAATAAACAGAGGAAAACAACATATTGTATTCAATGTTTGCGTAATTTCACTCCAAAACTTTCTCAGTATTTGTACAGGGGAATGGCCATCCAAGGAAAGACCTACGAGGCAGCGCCGGCAGATGTTATGCTAGCAGATCTTCCCTGGTGCCCTTTCAGTTAGCCTACAGTAGATGTAATGTACAGTTAAACGTCGATTTAATACCACCCTCCCATAATGCCACAAATTCCTGTGCAACAAATCTCTCTTGATTGCATTCTGAACGGAAACCCCAATTCAGTGCCACAAAAATGACTCGATTCTAAATGAAAAATTGGTGATTACTGACGAGAAGTGCATGCCCAGGCTCAGGATAATATTTACAATTATATTTCTGAATTTTCTGTCCTTGGGAGGGATTTTTGGATGTTCTCAGTGGCAAAGAGCATCTCTATAGCTGGGGTAGCCTCTTCAAAAAATTATTCAAATGATCTTGAAATTGTGTGCTATCATTAAAAGGTTGGTGCAAATCTTCATGAAAAAGTTTTGCTCTTCTACTTGACACAAAATATGCAAAAATTCAATATACTCTAGCATATAAAAAATTATAAGAACAGCGCATTTGAGCCTCAAATTATCTCTCGACACTTTCTCTCTTAAAAGCAGACTCAATGCCGTACAATGCTGCTGGCAAGCTTATCATTTTGCCCACAGTATACAAAACCTTCATCTCATACAATATTCCCGATTTAGTAGTACTGTCACCTAGCGTCACAAAATGCGCCAGGACAAATGATGGCACTAAAACGAAGTTTGACTGTACCACAAAACTTCTAATCATGAATTCATGCTAAAGGAAATAAAGAACCGGGCAGAGGCAGGTGCATAGAAAGCATCGATTATATCAGACTTGTTCGGGCTGTTGTGGTGTGGTTGGCGATTCAAGCGACATCTCTTTCACACTCCAGACATCAAGGTCGGGCATTAAATTGAGAAAACTCCCTTCACTGTATGATTGCTTCTTGAGAACTTCTCTCGTTGATTCTATCTGAGATTGCGACAGTAATCCCTTCTACACTCCGAAATCCCAATAGAAATGCGCACGCAGAACGACTTTGATACGAGGAACTATTTTTGGCATACGAACGCGTACATCAGCGTTTAAACTGCAAAATCACGTATTAAAACGAACAACGAATCTTATACGGGCTATGGGACGTGAAGCAGCATATTGCGAACCATAGATATGTTTCATCTGATCACTAGCATACGAGGCAGATCAAAACGCGTTACAAAAATGAACACTTCGATGAAAGACGATATTTTCGAAAGACGACTATTGCTGGTTCATCACTCTTCTTTCCCGCAAAGAAGGTTCAACTTTTTGGCTTCGTTGGCGAGGAGCTCTTCGTCCTTCCTCTGAATGTATTTCACTAAGTAGGTTAACCCGTACACCGTGAGTCCGATGGCGACAAAAGAAAGCAACGGCCAGAGAAAGGCGTCGCCCGAGATCAATTCTGCGGCCACGGGTCCCGGATTCTGAGAGGATACAGGATTTCGAATAATAAAATGAATTTCGACATCAAAAATGAGCACCAGAAGGGAGAAATAAGATCCGAATTTTCGGGAGTACTGTAATACGTGCGAATACAATTTGATGGCTCTTCAAAATGTTGCTGATTTAATTTCAAGTTCGCTCACAGAGAGTGCTTTTATCTTTTTGAAACAAGTCTACTTGTAATTTAGCGTGAGGAGTAATGAAAATTGTAAACTTGGTAATTTTAGACAGTACATTTTTAGAAATGAGAACGGCGACCAAAATCTGAATTCTTAAAAATACACCGTACGAAGTACAGTAATCGGAAGTGAACATGTAGCGCACTTCAATTCGTTCACAGACTTCTCGAACTTCTCACATTACAGTATTGTGTTCAGTATAATCTGTCAAATGAAAATTGGAGAGTTTTCACCAACCGTCCGGTAATCCAATTTCACCCACGAACAAAGAGATGAGTTCGACGCATCACAGGGCGCTTCAAGACTCAAATTCACACATGCCTGATTGAGAACAACGCCTTCGCATCGGATAAAAGCTTCTGGCGGAGAAAACTCGACAAAAACCTAGAAAAAAAATAATTGGAGTAACATCATGGCTTCTATGCATACAAGAAACATTAGCAATCAACTAAAGATCACACCGTTTTCTTGACGTCATCGTCAGGAAATTTCAGTTCAAGATTGAAAGGAAATTCGACGTTTGCCTTCAAGAAGTATTCCGATGCTTTCAATGGAGTGTATGCCAACAGTGTGTGAACTTCATTCGGATTTCCACGCGAAGCTGGAGAAAAAATCCCGTTCGACTGATTGAAGTTCAGGAAAAAACGCGGGTCCGAAAAAAAATAAGCACTGCCTCACCATTCGGTAGAAAAACAGTAGATCCAAGTTCAGTCTCCTGAAAATCTTCCAATTCCTTCGGATCAACCACCGCTCCGTCAGGAATCGCGTTGATGAGTAACAGGGTGCATAGTCCCGGAAACTTCAGACCACTGGTCATGAGCTCCGCAGTAAGTTCCATATCACTAATTCAAAAGAATCAAAATCGGACCAAATCCATCAATCCAAAGAAATGTCGCGTCTCGTGCAATTCGGTTCCTGCTATGAATTTCGTACAATGCAGGATTCAAACGTTTGATTTCCCAAAATCTAAGCTTGTCAGATTTTCAAGCAAAATTTATAGAAATCTTTTTTCTAGAGATGATAAAGGTCTATGTGCCCCAAAAACTCCAATGAGCAAGAAAATTCCCCAAGTTCTTCACTTCAGCAGAATCCTTCAATATTCAAAAGAATCCTTGTCTTCAGCATTGGTTCTAATCACATGGAGTTTTGGAACTTCAGACTAACGCGGGCAATTTCACCCTGCCACGAGCTGAAATTATCCGAGTACAGTACCACAGAGCAAATACATTTTCATTTGCTACTTTACACATTCCGAACAAAAATCAATACAGAATAAACATATCTTGATCATTATAAAACTAGCAAGTGAACATAGAGTCTGCGTAACTCACCAGCTCAACCCATTTTGTACAATCCGCCTCCAAATAAAAGGCTGGAGATCGTTTCCCAAAGAACACTTCAACTCAGCGGCACGGATTCCACCGAAACACAGAAGCAAAATAACCACGGCGAACGCCGTCATTTTTCGATGGGAAAAAATAGTTTCAATCGCATTTTTGAACCTGATAAAAGCCACAAATATAACTTTTCATAAAAACACACGCTGTTACGAATGCCATCAGAGTGAAAAATTCAATGAACTAAAAAAAACCCGGGCGATCACATCTGAAGATCCCGATTTAGTTACAGTACTTGAAAGCGCCCTTGCGGAATAAAAATGAGCAAAATGCAGCGAACTCGGCATCGGTAATTCGGACAAAACAAGACTTCAAAAGATCTCGCGTCCCGTGGAATAACTCAAGACGCAAGCAAACGTTTCAATGCCTTTCAAACGACCGAAAAATTGCGAGAAAATAATCAACGAAACAAAATTGAAAATGCTGACACAGAATAATAATTCCGACAAGCTGAGCGCAATCGCAACGATCTTCTAAATCTAAAATATTTTTCGAAGATAATTTGCAAATATTCGACGGATGCAAAAGAACACTTCAACTCAGCGGCACGGATTCCACCGAAACACAGAAGCAAAATAACCACGGCGAACGCCGTCATTTTTCGATGGGAAAAAATAGTTTCAATCGCATTTTTGAACCTGATAAAAGCCAAAAATATAACTTTTCATAAAAACACACGCTGTTACGAATGCCATCAGAGTGAAAAATTCAATGAACTAAAAAAAACCCCGGGCGATCACATCTGAAGATCCCGATTTAGTTACAGTACTTGAAAGCGCCCTTGCGGAATAAAAAATGAGCAAAATGCAGCGAACTCGGCATCGATAATTCGGACAAAACAAGACTTCAAAAGATCTCGCGTCCCGTGGAATAACTCAAGACGCAAGCAAACGTTTCAATGCCTTTCAAACGACCGAAAAATTGCGAGAAGATAATCAACGAAACAAAATTGAAAATGCTGACACAGAATAATAATTCCGACAAGCTGAGCGCAATCGCAACGATCTTCTAAATCTAAAATATTTTTCGAAGATAATTTGCAAATATTCGACGGATGCATATCTTCTGGAGCCAATAGGCTACTCGGAAGCTCGCTTTGTTCCTTTTCAATTATCATTCGACACAAACTTTCGAATAAATAACGAGGAATAATTCTCTTAACATTGTTTCTTCCGACGAGACCGGACAGAGAAAAAAAAAAAAAACTTACATGCGATTCACGAGTCCAATCGCACGTAAATGCAAACGTCACTTCACGTTTTAAAAATTATGACTGTTCGCGCAACGATGACGAGAAATCAAACATTTCAAGTTCAAATCACTGAAAATATTGCGGACTGGCGCTTAAGGGCACTTTAAACGTACAAAAAAGAAAACAAACAAAAATAACTAAACAATTCAGGAATTGCATCAAAATTCGATCAAGTTTTTTGTCGCCGGTGGGGGCGGAACAGGCGGAGGCGGCCGAGAGGGTTTCAACTTGCTCCGCTCTCGTGGCGTCGGCGTCGGCACAGAAGGGAAGTAGCTAGTGAACGAAGACTTGCTCATGCCTGTTGTCGGAGAAACGCGGCGGCCACTCGGTGTCAAACTCCGCTCCCTGGGTCTCGAGATGTTCAAAGAAGGCGGTTTCATGTAGAACTTTGATTTTGACTTCGGCAAATCGTCTAGCTGCCTGGGTGGATGCGGGGACTCGTGAGGTCTGTGTCGGGTTGAGGGACTGGGAACGTTTTGCATGGTCAACACAGGCATGGACCCGGCTCGGATTAGATTTGTAGTGCCCGTTATCCTGGACATCTCAAAATTCGGCTGTGAAGTACAGTACAGTATATCGAACACGAGTTCAACTCAAGAAAATTACAGCATAGCATTCAACTGATTTTTTTTTCTTCTCAATTCTATCCCTCGCTTCCTAAAATGGCAGAGAAGTTAACTGAATAATTCTCTTGACAATTAACCCGACTCACTCAGGCTAAGGAAGCATGACCGCGGGTTGGGGAACACTGGCCCAGAGCATAAGAACAATACTGTACTCCAATTAATTTTATTTCGATGAAATAACAAGATCTAATTCATTCTACATTTCCCGCACTTTCGTCTACTGCGATGGAAAAAAGCCACACAAATTAAATTTCACTTGAGTGAATTCCTTCTGATCATGACAAAAAATGTTCCTCCAAATAAAATTCCTTCAATTAGGATTGATTTTTTTCTCCAACCAATTACTGAACTCTTATTCTCGTGATTCTTCATATACTTCGGTCTGAAATTTCTTCAGCATTTGCTCATCTGAGAAAAATTTCAGATTATTCAGGCTAATGTACTTCCCGGATTTTCGCAAACATTGGTAATATAGGTCAGGACATTCGTCAAATTGCCATGATTTTATTTATTTTTATTTAGTCTTAATACCCATTAAAAGCCCGGATGATCAGAGTTCTGAAATAAAACATTTCCGAAAAAATTTATGATGGGACAGAAATCATGGAGTTGAGGAAGTCGGGCACTAAACAATTCAACACTGATGACTCGTAATACTCGAACATGAAAAACAAACGACTTCGTGCGATAGACTTCGCACGAACTGTTACGAATTTTACAGTTTTACGACCGATAAACCCTAAAAGAATTCACAATCCAGATCCTACATCTCACAAATATCCACCAATACTGTAATCTAATTACTTTTAGTACTTTCAGTAAATTTAAATTTCGAAAAGGAGTTAGTTTAGGTTAATGCCCCAATCATTCATGGTTTACAGAAGAAAAATATCTTGAAGACCACACTGTGTTAAGTGTTCAAACCTCAATCAAGGGAAATTAGCAGATAGACTGTAGAGAATCAGTAGCAAACATCAGTCACACTAAAAATTACCGATCAACAGGTGGTTACAGATATTTAAACACAAGGTATTTCTTTCACCTTTCCACCAAGTAGACGAATACGTGCCTCCAGCTCCACAGCTCTGCAGGCAAGTCGTTGAGTGCTAACGAAAAATATTTTAATCATGTCACCCTGAACCGACAAGAAGGGGAAAAAAAACGAACATGCCATCGCTGAATGATAATATTCACCTCGCCATGCGCAAATGCTGAACCCATTTCTGAGCTTGTTCTTGCGAAAAGCACCCGAACACATACTTTCGCCGGTATTTCGAATTCCCGCCGGCGAAAGTGATGGAAAATGCGAAGAGAACAGCTTCAAATCCCTCCCTCTGAACGAGACAGTCTTCAACAACCAAAACGCCGTTCGGCTACCAACACGGAAATTAAACGCACAAGAATTATTTGAATTCAACAGGAAACTTTTCCAGATAGAAGATACTACACTTACCTCCGCGTTTTTGTTGACACCGCCGTGCTCGTTCAGTTTGAACGAGAACATCAGGTTTCCAGAGAGCTTGAACCATCGTTCCTTAAAGCCTGAAGAGATCCAATAATTCGGCACAGAAAAAAAAACATATATTAAACGGAAAAAAAGTTTATCGACGCGATTCAAATTCCTCGCGGGAGTTTCCGTCCACGAAAAGAATGACTGGAGCTATCCTAGTTGAGGGGACCCAGACTACTAGCTCCATCTACAATAAACAGTGCTTACTCCCTTTCACGACTGAATTTGGGAGGCAGTTAGGTAAAGTTAGGTTAGGTCAGGTTATGTCAGCAAAAAATATTTCAGCCATACATTTTAAAATGTATTCATTGAAAATATTTTAGGTAACACAACCTGACTCGAGTTATGAATTTGAATCGAGAATAAAACGGACTGATGGTAAGGCTGACGATAGCGTACCACAGGATAAACAGAACAGGGTTGTTGAACAATTGGAGTGTGTCCACCAAGAACGTTCAGTGTGCCGTTCTTAGCGACATCTATATAGACGTAGTTTTGCGCTTGGGTCCCCCCAACTAGGATAGCTCCGAAAATTGTGTTTTACACTTGGTACCGTATACGATATCTAAATTGGGTTGAAAGCATCTCTACCAAAGTTTCATTCTTAGCTACACTCGAATTTCGACTCGTGTCATTTCATGCGCACAGAAGGTCGAAGGGAAAAGCAAGAGACAAAGGTCCAACCTTGAACTTTCTTCTCGGAGTAATCTTCTGGCGGTCCGAACAGAAGCCTTCCTTCGATCTCACCAGGAGTTTTCGATCGGCAAACGTTTTCCAGCTCCTTCTCGTTCACGCGGAGAGGCATGACGACAACACCACCACGAGATCACGCGATTCATTTCAACGCGCGGAATTTCCGCGCAAGATTAAAACCTGAATTGCATTAAGTGAATTTGCATTCTCTGCTTCTCAAATTAACGCACAAGAAACTCGCACAGGCAAATAAACACAGATTCTTCATTTCTGTCCAGCATTCTATGTTTCAAAAATAAAAAATAAAATAAAAACCACAAGGCCACTTTTGTTTCCCTCGAGATTTTTCCGAAAAATGCAACTTTCCCGACTAGATTCCGAAAACAAAAATTCAAAAATTTGTCAATCAAATTTTCATAATTTGTTGACCATATAAACTTGAAAACGGCCATTTGTACTGTCTTAATTCTCCTCAATCCACATTGACGCCCTGAAAGCTCATATCAAATTCTTTCCTGGTGAAAGCCAGTCACAGATTCCCTGTTGTCCCAGGTTGAACAGATGTCGCCCGCAGACGCGCAACTTAGCTTGGGACGACTAGATGTTGCAAACGGCCGATTGCGTCTACAACTTCTTTTTGCTTTTCAACATGCTAAATCAAACTTTGTCAGAGAGGCTCATAGGCCCCTGACACCTGTCATCCTTCCAACATCACCGCCATTATTTGACACAACCCAAACTTCACCTTCCCGAATCTTTCGCAGCATGTTTTTTCAGTAAAAAATAAACTGTCTTTTGCAAGCAGGCAACAATTTTCTTCACGTGATGTGAACTCGTATCCGGCATTTAGACCCTTCGGACAGCTTTTCCAGCAGTTCATGAAGGTATGATACTCGTACAGCTAGTCATACTATAACCATCGATTCTCATCTTTGAATCAATTTATAAGCTTTGAAAAGCGACGGAATGTAGCTTCGACACACATTATGGAATTCTACAGAAAATGCCATGAATCAGAACGCAATGGAATCTTCGAGGGTGTACTTCAGGTAGAGATCTATGCATTACTCCTTCCTAGTCCACGAAGAGAGTTAACAATTTATGAATAAACAAGGAGCGTTCAAAAAACGCTTCTTATCCATTTCAACCGGAATACTGGAACCACTACCTGGTTTCATGTCTAAAGTTTTGGTTTCTCCGAATCTTTCTCTCAATAATTTCGAAAGCAAAGATTTAATTTTTACTTCACAATCCAAAAGCTCTCGGAAGGTTCTGAAGATTTCCAAAAAATACATACTCTTCGAATCTTGATTCAGAACAAATATCACAATAAGGACTTCCACGAAGGAAATATCGTAATACCCTATACAGTATTCGGGAGCGTCTGAAGCCAAATAAGGCACTTTGGCATCACACGCAACAGGTAATGGATCTCATCACGCACTACTTCTACTGGGAGCAACTTCTGATGAATAGCAAGAAAAGATGGCGAATCATGCAATTATGGCACAGTTGCTCATCCGCATATCACTCCAACCAAATGAGGTCAAGGAATTCTCCCATCGAGATTATAAAAAATTCTTCGTAAATGCCTTCAGCATCAACTGCTTATTTCCAAAACAGCACGATCTATACGAGAATCATAACATAGATATTGAGCATCAACCTCAACACTGTTCTTCACCAATGACCACAGATATTAATCACAACCTCAACACCTTTCTTCTACAATGCTTGCATCACCATTTTGAGCAGATATAAGTGTAATGGGGTTCATTCATTTTGAGTCCGTCTATTGATATCAGCAGGTTTCTTCAGTCTTGTGCGCAACACTTGTAAGATATAGTTGTCCCGCCCCGACCGCAAAAAGTTATTCTCGCCGCATTCCTTACGAAAAACTGCCTTTCTATTCATGAAACAACTAATCAAGGAAAAACCCACTGAGTAGGTTTTTCCTATTGCGTAATTTCTCTCGACTTCCACGATTCCGACCTCATTTTATACACAGTTCTTCTGATCGTTTCGCAGCGAGCGGTTGTCTAAAAAGGTGTTGATTGTTCTTGAGTTATCACTTTCGAAATATACTTTACACTTTGTCTTTTGGGAGAATTACCGAATTCTCCCCTGCCGTGTTCCCCGGCGGCTTGAGTCTACTATTTTATTTATT